AAATTAATATAACTATAAAATACTTTCTGCCACATCATATTTTCTTTCCATATGTCATAGACAGAAAGCAGAAAATGATCATTCTAATTCAGAAAAAAGAATTTTGCTTCATATTCTTACTTTTTAAAACTGAGTCTGGAAGAATCACTTTAAAGGCCATGTAAGGAATATCCAACTTTTCACATTGCTTGGTCCAACAAGAGTGTTCTACGTAATTGTATTCCACCACAAATGAGAAGCTCCTCCAGGGGAAATCTGCTCCAATATTTTGATTATGTATGATTACACAGGAACTGGTACTAAAGCCAAAGAGACCCAAGAAAATGGAATTATACTTGGGTCATTGTTTAATTGGAATGCTAATAGATGACTGCTTCTAACTATGTTCTATGCCTACTCAACTTGGAAAGGCACAAGTGCATTTTTCTGGTTTTTTTTCCAGTTGTAGTAATCTTTTTATCTTTTTTTATGGTGATAATCACACTTTTAAACTACCAAAATATACAAAGACTATATCATTACTTCAAATAATCTTTTGATTTTATTACCTAAGTACTATCAATGACAGAAATCAACAAAAGAAATTAATCTCATCTTACAAACAGAATCAATCTTTCTTCTTTCTTTCTCTATTTTCTTTCTCTTTCCTTCCTTCTTTCTTTTCTTTCCATTTCCTTTTTTTTTTTTTTTTTTGAGATACAAAGGAAAGATCATTTTGTATGATGTGTCTCCCCATGTTGTTGAGACTGGCACTGAATTCACTATATAGGCCAGGCTGGCCTCAAACTTGCAGTGACCCTTCTCTCTCATCCTCCTGAATGCTAGGATTACAGGCATGCACTACCATACCTGGCTAGATTTTATTAAATTTCTAAATTCTAGGAGAAATTTTGTCTTTCCTATGAACTAATATATTGCTCCCCATAGATACAGACATACACTTTTACCCATTTAGAACACCTTTAGATTTCAGAAAATCTTTTCTTTTACTTGAATGAAAGATAGTCACTCTTAAATCTGTTGGAAAGAAGAAAATTTTTTTCAATAAGAGTGTTTTTCAGAGTTTTGTTCATAAACATTATTTTTAGTTCATCTATTTCACTTCATCCAAAATGAACTAACAGTCTGTGAACTACAAAATTACTTCAAATATAATATGATGGATTACTTTTCTATGTCTAACATATTGGAAAGTCTAAACCATAGGCAAAAAGTCTAAATTTCCTATGTGAAATAATGGATGAAAAATTTAATTTTAAAGTAGCTAAACACTCATTAACTATATAGTCAATCTTATTTTACTTTTTATACTTTCCCTCTAGCCAAAAGTAACAAGAAACTGTATTATCTGTTCGGTTTTGTTTTGTTGTTGGGAGAGGGGGTACTGGGAATTGATACATTATCTTTTAAAGTAATAAAAATGTTTACCCTGTTCATTCTTTCTATTGCTTATATAACAAGCAGAAGACTTTTTGGCACCATCTATTTCTTAGAGTCACTCCTGCTTCTTAATTATAATTTAAACTTATTTTACTAATGTTTAAACAAAATATGGATTTCAAAAATTTCTGTACTCTCACATTCAGGTTAACTTTGATAGATATAATTGTTTCAAGCATAGCTAAACATAGTCCAAATTAATTCTGTACTCTATTAGTATACTTTTTCAGTCATAAAGTTCACAAAGGTGTCATGTATTAATGATGGAGATGACTGATAACTATATGTAACTTTACTTGACATGATGATAGGTTTGGTACTTGACAGTAGAATGGTAGCAGGAGAAATGAATATAATTTTTCTTTTATGATTCATAACATGATTTACACTATTCAAAACTTAGTCTTCTATGATCCTAAAACATATTATGCAGTAGACTGCTAAATCTTGAAAATGTATGAACAATGAAATAAAATTTTTCTAGAACTAGACAGAAAAAATCCCTAGCTTCTAGAAACCAAAGGTATTTGTCATTCTAAAAGAGAATAAAAAAATTTCCAGTTTATAGATTCAAGATTTTTTGTGTCAGTAGGCATTGTTGAAATTAAGATAGCAAGAATGATAATGTATTTTCAAATGTGATAAGGTGTTGTTGGTTTTTTTTGCATGAAGCCTAGTTAAGAGACACAAAGCAATAATCTAGAGCTGTTCCAGAAAACTATGACATTTTCCAGCCATACAATTATTAACTATTGCTCTATTGTTCTGATACTAAGAATCTTATGAATGTAGTGAATAGAAACTCATCTTCTCAGAGTTGAAAAACTAACGATGTACCCAAGGAGTAAAATAAAGATAAATACAATTGTGTTACAGAGGTCAGTGACAGTGTAAGGTCAGAGTATTACATAAATCATTGACATAAAAGACATTAAAATACTCAGGATAGCATTGGAGTTGTAGCTTAATGGTAAAGCACTTGCCTAGCATGTATGCAATCTTGGATTTGTTCCCCAACATTAGAAGACAAACAAACACAAAAGAAAACTACCTAGGATAAATGGCAGGGTTAGGAGTCTAGAGTATATGGATTTTGAAGAGCCAGGTGGGTAATTATCTATGGGCCACAGGGAATTATGAGGGGGTTAGCATGTAGTGGCTAGTTTAGAGTGGTAAAAAAACTGTACAGCAATGTCTCAGCCTTGAAAGATGGAAGAATAATGTTTGAAAATGACTATGGAAAAAGAGAAATAACCACCTCACTCCCACAGAATGTAGAGAAGATGATGAGCTTCTCTGGGGGGTGGGTGGGTTGGGTTTCATTAAAGACAAGGAGGACACAGAGGAGTCTGAATGCGAAACAATGAGTTCCACAGCATACAGTATACTATACAAAGGGTTGACAGCGGGGACAGTAGTGGGTAAAAAGTTAAAATGCCATTGAAACTGGAGAGAAGTTGGTTAAAGTCCTGATTTCCTTATTTACTGCCTGTGAGATCTGACATGCTACGTCACCTTTATGAACTTATTTCTTTAATTGTAAAATGGAGTCTAAACCTATTTATAGAGTAGATACAAGTATCCAGTATTATTAGCAACTGGTAGGTAATCAATGAAACATGCAAATTATCAATACATTACAGTAAATTGCAGGCTTACAATTTATATTGATTTAAAAACTGATTAAATCCCAGAGTTGTAAAGTAATTAAATTTTATGTTAATTGGAGTTGAATTTTAAAAGCTGTTAGATCAATATATTTATATGTTCAAGCATCTATTACCTAATCAAACACAATTTAGAAGTCCCTACCTTCTATTTTGTTAAGAGTTTTAATGAGTAAATGTTTTTCACCATCTGAATCCATTCTTATTATAACCAGCACCTAGTAAAAAATAAGAATTTCATATATATCTCTGAATGATTATTCTTTTCCAGTTTTGTTAAAAGTAGCAAAAAAAGTCACTGGTCACAGGAAACTAATGACAATGGGATCACAAAGCAAATATTTGTTTTGCAAAGGATGTCAATGCTTAAGCACAAATAAATGGTGGTAACATGAAACATCATTGAGGAATAAGGTTTCCTTAGCATACCTCAAGCATTCCCATATATATATTTTGTTAAATTTAGCCCACTAAAGTTTGAATTTGTTGGATAAAACCAATGATTTGTTGCTGTATTTTCCTATACATCCTTTCTTTTTGTGGCAGAGGTACAGCACATCAGTTTCAATTTTAAATTTTTCACTTATTGATTTAGTTTATTTTAATGGCTTAAGAAGATTATTCAAGAAACTTTAAAGATATAGGTGAGAAAAAAAGAGGAAAAAGCAAAAGCCCAAATAAATCTGTATATGGAATTGCACAATTTGAAGAGAAACTGGAATATTACATCCAGATTTAGAATAAGCCATTTGTATAATGTTTTTCTGCTTGCTAAGATTTAAGAAAGCATTTTGTCTTAAATCTTCACTAATACAAACTTCACGCTTGATGTAGAGCAAGCCAATAACTTCTAGTGTAAGTCAAAGCATTAACTAAGTACATTTTCGTACAATCACGTCATGAGATACTGGCTAAATCTCTAAATATAAATTGTTATAGTTCAATTGTTATATAAATGTTTGAGGGCTTATTTAAGTACTAGACAAATGTTTTGGCAACTGGAGAACCCACCCATAGGCAACTGCTTAAAATAAAAGTTAAAAGTATTTAAAAGTTGAGGATAGTTGAGGACAATAATGCAAATCATTTTTTTCTCAGTCTGATTTTGATTTGTCATTTACTGAAGGAGAACACCGTCAAGGGGCCAAGCAGTATAGACATTTCATAATTTCAAATTAAATGCAAAAACTTGTTACATCCAGTTATTTAAACTGATTATTTTTATTTGCCTTACTCCAATATTTAACCTTAATTTGCTGTTGACTTTGCATCCAACTTAGTATCTGATGTTGTAATTCTTGTATTTTATGGTTGGCTTCAGGCATTTTTCCTTTAACAAACTGTACGATCTTAAGCTGTCTCCAAATGTCATCTAAATAGGAGCCTAAAATGCTTTTGTAGACATCTTTTGCATTTGACAAATATCCTGTTAGAACAAAATTAGAAAAAAACTGCATAAGTCTTTTTGCTCTTTGAGACATTCCATGACAAAAAGCTGAAGGGAAATGATTCATAACAGTGAGAGCTAAAATTTCATTTAATCATATTCTGAGTTTGATTAAAACTTTTAAAGTTTTATT